GCTTTTTGTATTGAACATTTCCTCACCACCAACTCATTTCGTAAGTTTCGCACAGGGTACGGAAATAATGTTAAAATGCCCTCAATGCCTTGTTTGATGTCAAGGGTGGAATGATCCATCAGTTAGGACATGTAGAGGATCAGAACTAAAAATTACAAAACAAAACGACCACTTCAGGTGAAACACACACCGTTCGCACGCCTTTAAACGTCACCAAGGTGCAGAATTCAGTAAATGAGCCCCATGAGACGTCTGTCCGTAGACGATGTCTGCAGCAATGATTTTCCTACATCTCAACGGTCCGCATTCTCAAAGCAGATCTGTAGGAGAAAAGCGATAAAAGTTTCAGGGATGGAAAAATTCGATATTAAAAATAAAAGGAAAGGAAAAAACAAAGCCATCATTTCATGACTTTCCTTACAAGATCTTTTAAATTGGTGCATTCGAATTTTTAATTTACAGGTGTTTTTAAAAAAAGTCATTTCCGTTTTCGAAAATAAGTTTCTTCTTTGTGAATTGTACGTCAAACAAATGCCTTTTGAGGGAATTATATCTGTTCCAAATTATAACATTCTAGTACAACTTTTGTGCGAGATATTTAGAAAAAAGGTTGTACAGTTTTTTGGGGGGATCACCTTGTATTTTTTGTGAGTGTTCGTGTTCGCATATCAGGCTGTGTGTATAGCATGTGTGTATATATGTGTGTACTTATGTGTGTGCATGAGTACGCATATCGTGCTGTGTGTACATTATGTGTATATATGTGTTTATATGTGTGTGTATATGTGTGTATATATGTGTATATGTGTGTATATGTGTGTATATGTGTGTATATGTGTGTATGTGTGTGTGTATATGTGTGTACATATGTGTATAGATATGTGAATATATGTGTGTTCGTGAGTAAGCATATCATGCTGTGTGTACATTATGTGTATATATGTGTGTATATGTGTGTATATGTGTGTATATGTGTGTATATGTGTGTATATGTGTGTATATGTGTGTATATGTGTGTGTATATGTGTGTATAGATATGTATATATGTGTGTATATGTGTGTGCATGAGTCCGCCTATTAAGCTGTGTATATTTGACTGTGTCCCCACTGTATCCCCAATGTCTATCCAACAACAGACGACAGGACAACAGGACAACAGGACAACAGGACAACAGGACAACAGCTAATAACGCCAGGCCTGCTATGTGTACCCACGGTCGGTGCAAAGAGGTCTGCACTCACATGACACGTCCATTTGTGTGAGCAGCCATAAAACATGTATAGTAAT